GATTTTCCATTTTTTTAATAAAAGTTAACATTTTTATGTAATTTGTAAAATGTTAATATTTATTTTGTTAGTTAAATTATATATGGAATATTAATTTCGTTTTTAATATAATTTGGAAACAATGACATTTTCTAAAAATAATAAACTAAAATAATGATGTGTCATTTTACGATTGGAGGACTTAAATCCTACGTGGACGTCCTCAATGGCTTATAGCCTCAACTTTTATATAGTATAGATTAGCCTTGCCTTCTTTTCCACATGTTCCAAATAATCCTTTTTCATCCTAACATAAATCACCAATTCACCATATCTCAAACATTATATACCAGAATCTCTGAAAATGCAAATATATAATATGTATATTTTTCATACATAACTATTAATTATTTTATGATAGTCGTAAGGGAATGCAAAGCATCAACACATTTGAATTCTAATTTCACCGGCCAGGCGGCCACTACAATTACTCTGAATATAACTCTTAATCAATTGGCCAACTATATTAGACCGAAGACGCATTCTTTTCAAACTATTAACAATATAAAATTTACAAGTTATTGCTTCGGATATATAGTACAAAACGTTTAACAAGTTTCTTTCCGACCTTCTATATAACTTGGTTACAGTACAGTCCTCACTTTTAAGAACCACCAAAACTTAAAAACGTCTGAAACGAAAAAGATGAAAATCTTTATCCCATCTCAAAACCTAATCTTGGCTACTACAATTTTCCTAGTTTATATTGTTCCCCTAAGAGCCCAAGACAGCTCAGAAGACTATGTGGATGCTCACAACAAAGCACGAGCAGCGGTCGGGGTGGGTCCTTTAACGTGGGACGCTATGTTGGCTACTGAAGCTGGTTTCTCGGCGTTCCAACGCGGTACAAGCGGCTGCTCTACGCGGAGCTGGACGGGGAGCAATGGCGTGAACATCGCTAGAGGTAGTTCTACGATGTCAGGCGTTGAAGCAGTTGAAATGTGGGTGAACGAGAAATCTGACTACGATTACAATTCCAACACATGTGCAGTGACCAAAAATTGCTCCAGCTATACTAAGGTTGTGTGGAGAAACTCGGTGAAGTTAGGATGTGGAAAAGCGAGATGCACTAGTGGTGAAACATTAGTTGTTTGCGAATATGATCCTCCCGGTAACGTTAATGGCGAGCGGCCTTACTAAAAGGAAATTTGAATACGTCTCCAAGTATATGTTATACACATGTATGTTTTGTTTTTTTATGTTGGATTTGTTCATCTATACCAATCTTCTGTGTCAGCTAATGATGATTGGTGTGTCCCGCCGGTCCGGTCCTTTTTTGTACCATATCTATTCGTGGATTTTATGATGAGATAAGAAAAATGCAATGCTACTGCGCTTGCTTTGCTTTGTTTGCTATATAAAATCTTCTTCCTATCTCAATTGGGAGAGAGACTAGTATGAGAGACTAGGGATAAACTAGAATCCTTTTAGAACCCATATACTTAGAATATTATATTCTTTACATATCATAATCGTATATTTAATTAAGAAAACAATTGGGATGTTTTTAAACAGTGTATTTCATTTTCTTTGTTATCTCTCGTGAATTGCGAAATGTTGATGATTATTAATACAAGGAAAAATTCATTGTAATTTATTATGTTTGCTTTTTCCTTTTGATATTAAAATATCAATTTATTTAGAAACCAGGTGTTTTGTATGCACAAGCGGACATAAACCTGTTACAATTACTTATTTATAGATGCATTATTAATTAAAAGACTATAGTAAGAAAATTATTATTTATATTTTCATTTGAAAGTTTCTTATGTAATATATATATTTTTAAAATTAACTGTATATTACATTCATTATTAATACATAAACCTTTAAATTACGCAATACTCTCTTTTCAATTATATAAAATTAAAATTTTACTTGCTTAATATGAATTATTTATTTTCTGTTTTTGAATTTGTAATTTTTAACTTATATTTTCAGGTAATGACACAATATATATAGGCATTAATTTTCCATTTCAAATATATTTTTAGTTTTTGAATAACTCTTATTATTATTAATTTTAATCACTTATCTAATCAAATATTTTTTTATGTTGTGAGTAATTATATAGTTTATTTATTAAGAAATATAAACTATATTAACCACTCTAACTTTAAACGTGAGAGATCATATGAGAAAAAATACTTCGCGAATTAGTATAGACATATTGCTAAATAACTTAGTTTCTAAAAGAGAGGGAAAATTTCATCACAAATCACCAACTGTTGAGCTATTAATTAAATTACATATATATATATATATATATAATTTATTTAGCAATATATCTATACTAATATTTTCTGAAATATATATTAACTTGCACTGGATATCTAATTAAAAGAATTGACCTGTTCATTTACTATAGAGAAATAATGTGAATTATAGATAACACTAGATGATAACCCGCGCTATGCGCGGAGTGAGTAAATCAAAAAATTATTACATAATATATATATATATATATATATATATATATATATATATATATATTAGAAAGTAATATTGGATATAATGATATATCTTACTACAGTGTGGAGGTTTTTATAATGTAAGATTATTTGATTTTTATATGAAAAAGTTTGTGTAGTTAGATATGTGCATTGAAATATATTATATGAAAAAAAACTATAAACGTAAGTAAACATTTCTTTAAATTTATTATAAATTTAAGAAAAAAAATAGGTAATAAAATTATTGCATTCATAAGAAAATTTTGATGATAATAATTAAAGAAACATAAGTAATAGAAAAATAAAACACCAAATAATGTGATTATTGTCTTCAAATCTGATTACAGTATAAAAACCATTTCTATGGTCTCTCCACCAACAGCCGAGTATTGCTTCCAAAGTTGAATGACTTTCACCTTAATCTTTCATAGCGACTTCATTGGTTTAAATCAGAGATGAATTCAACCCTTGCACTTTGAATGATACTTTTAAATCGCTTGGTTTGTGATGGAGTTGTAGGCATAGTATCGACTCCATATATATAGTATTTTGGATACAAATTTATCACCATAAATTGTTAGTATATTTTGCGTTAATTACATATCTTCTGATTGATAATATAATTGTATAGAATCCCTAGTTGATCATGTTTTCCAGTTTAATTACGAAAAACTAATGAGACAAAAATATGCAGAGTTAATGTTTAGATATAGGGAGTTAATACTATGTAATTAATGTCAAATATTCATAATAGAATAAATAAAATTTAATAGTTAATGCATATAAGTTAATTGGTTACTAAAATATCGTAGAGGTCCGGCTATGTTTCCGGCAAAAATTATAAGTATAATTTTTTTTCCTAACCTATTTAATCTTTAATTGTTCATAATATATTATGTTTAGTATGTCTTGAGTTTTTAAATTTGTATTAATAGCTATTTTTAGGCATTCGCTATAATATTTGTGGATTTTTATATGATCAAAACATATGAAAAATTAAATTTGATATACACTTAGCATATTTAATATTTAATATTTAATTATTTATAATATAAATTTAGAATCAGTTGATTTTTGAATTTTGTATTAATATTAGTACATTAATTTTAATTGCATTTATGTTAGCACATTTATGTTAGCGCATTTATGTTAATTGGTAAGAAATCAATTGAAACATATACAAAATAATCAAAATTCCATTGATAGGTAACAAACCATATTTGATGTTTTCTATTTTAGAAAATAGAAATCATTTTAATTGGATGTATTTCCACCAACAATTTTAAAATTGTGATTAAACAATCACATTAAATTTGGAATAAAATCTTTTTGACTGCTTAATTTAGTGACATAATTTATGTTCATTACCATTTATAGCGGTGATGACCATTATCATAATTACATGAATAATATATATAATTTACTAGGTTGTTAATTCTATGAATCCCTAATTTATGTTTATCATTTATTTTTATTATACTAAACTATATATCGAATAAATAATACATATAGTTTACTATATGTTACTCGAATAAATAATATAGTATTTTCAGTTACACTTATTTATTATTTATATGTAACGTTATATATAAGGTAAATCATAAAATAACATTTAATATACAGTTATTTATACGCCAGTGACATTTATATGCCCAGCTAAATATATAACATCATCATAAAAAATATTTTTTATATACACTTATTTGCATATTTTATTTACATGTAAATAAAATATATTTCTATATAAATAACGTGAATATGAAAATAAGATAGCTATTCATGTTAATATAAAAAATACATTTATATATCAAACTATATGTTACTCGAATAATATAATACATATGTACTATGAAGATTTATATACAAATTGTTATTCGAATATAAAAATAACATAATATTTTTCGCGTTCTTTGAATCTATATGAACGATTAAAACCAATAAGTTTAATGTTTTGATAAAAATAACAAAGGTATTTTCGAGTCATTTAGTTATAGTCTTACGATGATACATTTACGGGATGATTTATGTCTTCAATATGTATATATATAGAAACATAAAATAAAATAATTTTTGTAGGTTGATTTGCCAATGGCATGACATGTAATTATTCTAGGCCAAAGAGAGTTATTTAAAAAGGGTTGTGAGGTGGAATATGGTGTTGACACCTAAGAAATAGCAAAGTTGTGAATCACACATAAAATAAAGGTTTGTTTATAAAAGTTTTCCTCAGATAATAAGAAAGGGATGAAGACTTGAATTTGCAGTAAACAATATTTTTCATTGACTTTTTTTCTGAAAGGGAATGTAATCCAGCTGCTTTGGGAAAAGGAGCTCAGATCATGGTATAGAATCATACCTTTGTAGGCCTAGTTATCCGAGAACTAGGCGATTAATTGAACAAACTGGTGAACCAAAAATACAAGTCATCTTAAAATATATAGTTCCATCACCCTTAGATGTCCGTCATCGTCGGATCTACAAATATTTTTGAGAAAGGTCGGATCTACAAACGGCACCTTTGTTTGCCAGCTAATTCCGTAAACGTGTGTAATTATTTTCACAATGTTTAAATATAAGTTATAGTGAACTGAAAACGTGACACATTTTGCCATACACTATCATTTATATACACGTAGCATTGTAAACTTTCTATAAGTATTCATTCAAAAGACAAGAAAGTCATCTCACCTTATACTTGTTCCACTCATATTTACAAGACAACCAACACACAAATCATTAACATGTTTCAGTATTTTCTGAATTCGTGATTAAGAGGGTATTAGATGCGTCGTTTTATAACTAATTGTATTCAAAAGATCCAGACTAAATCGGATAATAAAATTATTTTTGGTACAAATATCCAAACCCATTTTAGATATATTAGTTTATTTAGATATTTTTATATTCTTACATATCATAATCAAAATCATTCAGACCCGGAAGGACCCAACTCAAAACCCACACATAAATTTATAATATCCAAATGGATCTAATTTCAAAACTCAAAAATGATTCCAAAAAAATAACTTGTACTTGAATGAGTACCCGAATATCCATACCTAACTGATTCTGTAAGAAAATTAATATATAAAAAAATTTCCATATGTTTAGCTAAAATAAGGGAAATAGAAAGAATTTTTTATTTAGTAAAATAGTTAATATGAAGTGAAACATTAAGTGACAATAAATGTATACATTTTAATAATTTTGATTTAAATTATTATTTTGTTCACATAAATTATGCCTTTAAATTATGTGTTAGGTAACATAAATTTTCACCAACTGGAACTACGATAAAAGAAATATTTAGTAAAACAGATTAAACCAAACTATTAATGATATGCAAAACCCAATTTTTACATTTTTAATTTTATAATTTTAAAAAAAGTTAATGTTGATTAATTCATAAACAAAAATATGCACTATTACTTTATGGTAATATAATTAATAATTTAAGGTATTGTTAAGATACATATAATTAATGATGTGATATATTTTTAAGGTACTATAATTAGTGAAATTACTAAAAGAAAATATACTTTTTTCATACTGTTATATATATTTCTTAACGGGAAAATTGTCATTTAAATCACCAACTTTTAAATTTGGTTGAAATAAATCACTAACTTTTTCATAAGCCAAAAAACACCCAATTTTTGTTGATAAGCCATTTTAATCACAAATTTTCATCAACCATACCAATTTAGTCATACAGTTAGTCAACACTTATAATTGACTAACAATAGGCATAAAATGGCTTTTAAAGTTGATGTTTTTTTGGCACAAATATAAATCAACATTTTGTCAAAATATTAGATTTTAAATATTGGAATTTTTAATAATATAACACTAATAAATAAAAAATAAATTCCAAGCAAAATATAAACAGAACTCAATGTAAAATAATTAATTAACATATCCTTAATTGAGTATTTTAGTTAAAAATGATTATGAGAATATTTAAATTATTTATGATTATTTTTAATTATTTATATAATCCTACTCGGATTATGTTTTATAATTTTATGGTCAAAAATTCGTTAGAGAAATATTTATTCAATTCTTAGATTTTTAATTAAAAAGAGTTATCGGATTAAAAAAAGAGTTATCGATTTTGGTGAAACTTATTTTTCTTAAATGCAGAAAAACTTTTTTAAAAAATTTATAGAAATAATTTTGATTTTTCTTGAATATTTTTATTAAAAATATAAAGAATCACGAAGAATTCATTAATCGATAACTCTTTTCATTTAAGAATCAAGAGTTAAATTAATATTTCATCAACAAAAGTTTGAAAATAAAATTATAAACATATTTCAATAGGATTATATAAATATTTACAAAAATTAATCCAAAATAATTAAATTATTCTTATCAATTTATAATTAAGATAGTCAATTAATGATGTGTTAACTAATTATTTTACATTGAGTTCTATTTGTATTTTTGATTGGAATTTTTTTTATTTATAATTTTATTTATTAGTGCTTCAGTTATAATATTTTTTAAATATTTAAAATATATCCATTATTGTAGGAAAATATTGATTTACATTTGTGCCAAAAAAAAGTATCAACTTTGAAAGTCATTTTAGGTCTACCATTAGTCAACTATAACTGTTGACTAACAATATGACTAAATTGGAATGGTCGACAAAAGTGTGTGATTAAAATGGCTTGTCAACAAAAGTTGGATATTTTTTTTTGCTTACAAGAAAGTTGGTGTTTTATTTCAACCACATTTGAAAGTTGGAGATTTAAATGACAATTTTTCATTTCAAAAGAGTTCTCATTTATACAACTATCCATGTTTCCAAACAATATTCAAATGTATTTCAATTTTAATAATATAGACTAGATTTTGATCCGCGTTTTAAAAGCGCATGTATATTTTTACCATTTAAAAAATGTATATATTTGAATTAATTATTTAAACACAAAAAAATTTAAAATTGATCTATTAATATCTAAAAATATTCTATTATAATTTTAATTTTCATATTGTTTTTTCATATCTGATCCATATCGATAGTTAAACCGGTGCATCCTATAATGAAAATTTATTAATTAAAATTTTTGATAAAACTTAGAAAATATCCTAAAACTCGCTATTAATCTGCAATATGATATTCGTTGATTCGCTTAAAATTCCATTAAACTGATAATATTTGTTAAAAATTAGTTAAGTAACTCATACTTTTAATATTAAATAAATTGATTTTTTGTAATTTCTTTAATGAATTATTTTTTGTCCTTTAAAAAAAAAATGAAACAGTGGTAATAGAAAAAAAAAATCTATTCATACAAAAATAATAGTTTATTCGTTATTAAGTACCTACGATAAGTTTACATTTTTTTCTTATTTTATATCTAAAATTATTTATAAAAAAAATTGATTGATATATCAATATTATTGATAAAATAACATAGTAAATAACAGATTTTAATTTTGGCCGCTAAATAATATTATGCACGAAAATATGATGTTAAAATTAAATAGAAAGTATAATTTTCATTAAAGAAAATTATTATTAACCACAAAATAGGAAAAATTATCAGTTACCATAAATATAGGAAATATTTAGTTGTTTAGTTAATAAAATTCTAAAAATAAAGAGTGGTACTATCTTATAAATATGATGTAAGTCCAATGGCAGAATCCAAAATTTTTAAAATAGGATGTTGTTTTAATACTACAGACAGTACTACATTTCATGCATTTATAATGTTCTCGCAGAAAAATTTTTTTTGTTTTTTCAGGTGCCGACATGTTCAAAGCGGTCCTCTCTAACCCGCGTGACCGCAGTGGCCGGACCCGCCACGGCCCAATCCCGTAGTAACATTACCCGCGAAGCCCGTTAAATTTTGGGTCTATAATTTGCTGGCCCAAACCCGCCCCATATGGGCCTTTTATGAGACCAGCCGGCGGGCCGCGATTCAGATTGCCATCTCTAATTTTGATCATGATCGGTTATGACTTTGACGGACATAATGTTTTACTCGATGATTACCATTTTTGGGAATATAACATTAATGACTTTAGTTTTAATTTCAATCTACAACCATTTAAATCACCAATCATGCTTTAAGTAGTTTTTAAAGTTAAAGTCAAAAAAAAAATGGAAAAGTGGTTGTAGGAACCCTATTTTCTAAAGCAAAAAAATATTGCTGTAGGATTGTTGTAGGAATATCTTTTCTTTTATATTTTTTTCATTTAATTTCTACAGCTACATTAGATACAACTACATCATAAACATCTACAGTGTAAATTCTACAGTAAAATTTTTAAATCTACAGTTCAACCAATCACCCCCTCTATTTTTGTAAAGCACAGAAACGGGAACAAAATCGAAGTTAAAATGTGAGTGTTCTGTTTTCTTTGGTTTTTCTATTTTTATTCACATTTATGTGCTTTTTAAAAAGAGAAATTTGCAGTCCTACCAAAGAACTTTAGCATAATTTGCAATATACCAAAAGACAAAAACCCTGGAACTGTTCATGATGTCTTTTTACTCTGTTACCCCTTAAACACTAACCTCTCTCCTGACCATAAACTGAAGATATAGACCAAATCTTTTTAAGATATGCAAAATCTAATCCCTACTAAAATCTATAACCTGAGTTTTTTTGTTGATGGTTGTGTATTAGTGCAAACAAAACAAACCGAGTTTTTTTGTCAGATTAGGGTTTCACCCTTCGGAAAATTGATCGACATTGCCGACAAACCGAGTTTCTCTGGAAATTTGGGAGATATCATATCCAATTGGACTGATCTTTGAGGTACTTTTGGAAACTCTCTATCTATGGATTTAATTGGAAGTGTGGATTTTCTTCAGGGGCTTTGTTTCACATGTGTCTTCAATTGATGATGCAGAATCGGACGATACGTTTGGTAGCCTCCAGATTGTTAACCACAAATTTTCATCGCCCTCATAATATTTGCAGTTGCAACTAAACCCAGTTCGGAAGTTATTCTTGATCAAAACCGTGTAATTACAATAGTGGCTAGTCATCTATATCAATAACCGGCTAAAACAAAATTTCAAACATTACCCATTGATATCGGGGAAAGGAGAGAACCCAATTGACCGTCTAATTACAATAATTGCTGGTCAACTATATCAATAACCTGCTAAAACAAAATTTCAAACAATAGCCATCGATATCGGGTGAAGAAGAGAACACAATTGGCCGTCTAATTAGAATAGTGGCTGGTCACTTATATCAATAACCGGATAAAAAAAAATTTCAAACATTAACCATCAATATCGGGTAAAGGGAAGAACCCAATTAGTCGTCTAATTACAGTAGTGGGTGGCCACCTAAATCAGTAACCGGCTAAATCAAAATTATTGACAATTTTGTGAAGGTTAACAATGATTGTTAGTCGGTTCGAAAGATATATAACCGTACAACGATTTTTTTATGGGGCTATCTAGTTTACACTTTTGTTATGGTCTATTCATTACCATAAGGGTTCTGGGGATCATGTTATCTTTAGGCTATAGAATTTTGACTATAGGGTTATATAATTAGTGTTTGGGTTCTGGGTTTCCAATGGGGTGTAGGTTTTAGAATATTGTATCGATGGATAATTGGATGTGATTATGTAAATATAGAATTAGGATGTAACATATTTTTTTTTAGATTTCTGGAGAAAAAATATGTAACGAAGATGAAGAAATAAGAAGATGACAATGAGAGAGAAAAATCTAAAGAAAATCTCATTTGTAGAGTGAACAAAATTTTTTTTTGATATTTTTGTCATTTTGCAAATATCACAACTCTTAGTAGTGTAAACGCAATCTAGGTGTTATCTTACCAAATCCCCCAAAGATATGACTCATGTTTTGTGTCAGACCAATTAATGCTACAAAAAATTCGAGAAGAGAAGAAGTAATCCGAACAGGGATAATTTCGTCATTTGCATACCACTGTTTCCTTGCGTGAGTTACACTTTCTTCCATTTGGGTATTCTCCTAATATATGGATCTTTCTTTGTTTTTCACCAAATTACCTCTTTTAAAAATTTAGAATTTGTGACTTTTTTTTCTAATAATAAAGACTCTACAACCATAAATGTAAAATTTTAGGTAAGACATGAAATCAAATGTTATAGATACATAAGGAATTAGCAACTCAAAACAAATGTATTATAGATAAGATTTCACTCTTTCATAGTTGTTTCTCTAACATCAATAACCAATGGTGTTAGGGATAAACAGAAGATGTGGACAAGAGCCTTTGGCAATAGTGATACTAATACCACATTTCTACTTAATCCTCTTCTCAGAGCACAAAAGATACAATGATGATTGTGTTAAGAGCGCTACTACTATTTGGTGCGGATGGAAAGATCTTGGAGCTGTTTTGGATCTACTTCCGAGGGAGTTCTGGTTAAAGCACACTGCGCCGTTGTTGTCTTTGGGAAAGCTATTACATCCCTTATGGAACTCGCACCTGCCAGCATCATCACCATCCTATCCAATCCATAAGCAATTCCACCTGCAATAATATATTAAATCCTAGTGCTTCATCAACCATGCTTGAACAATCTTGTTCAGCAAACATCATCATTCATCACCAGAGTGCCATCAAAGTTATTGACAAAGTTTCAGACAAATTTAACTGAGCATACGAAAATTTACATACCATGAGGAGGAGCACCCATGTCAAGAGCCTCCAGAAGATAGCCAAACTTTGCTTCAGCCTGTTTGTAGAAAGAACATATGAGATAAGGCTTATCTGTAAATATCAAAGTATTTTAAATGAAGAAAAAGAAAATGAGTCTCACTTCTTCAGCTGAGATGCCAATGATCTCCAAAACCTTTTCTTGGACATTTCGCTTATATATCCTTAAACTTCCTCCACCAATCTAGTATACATCAAGACAGTGTTTAAAAAAAAAAATCTCCCAAACAATTGTTCCAGAAATAGTGATGACCAAGCTGCTTTGTTTACCTCTACCCCATTGTAGACCATGTCATAAGCGAGAGCTCGTGCAGAAGGTAAGTCATCCATATCTTCAGGCCTAGGAGCTGTGAAGGGATGATGTAATGCCTGAAGAGAAAAGGTATTTTCATATTAGCAAACAAAATGTTTGGCCATTAAACTCAACTCAATAGGGCTGTTCAATATGGTAATACCGAACCGTACCGAAATAGACAATATGGTTTGGATTTGGTATATACCATATAAACCGAATGGATATGATTTTATAAAAACCGTAGGATTTGGATATGGTTAGGTTTATAACCGATTAAACCGAATAAACCGAACAAAACCGATCAAAGAAAAAAATATATAAATATATACATTATATAACCATTTATTTTCTCAGAATGGTCTTTTTTTAACTTTTTTATTCCTTGTGAAAATATATCTTAATAATTTTATTTTATTTTCTTCAACTACTATCTGTGAAATTAGATCGTACCATGTAATTTATTTGGAAGAACAAAGAGAAAATAAGAAAAACTGTACAAAACTGAATCGTTGGTCGTTCTGTTTGTTGTTAATTTCACATTTTTATATTATGTATACCTAAGATTATTTTAATAAATGATAGTTTTGACAATATGTTTTTTTTTAAATTCATATATATATAACCAAATCAAATAATAATGTTATTGGTATAAAACCGAATAAACCAAAACCGGTAGTATAAATACCGAACCAAACCAAATTTAATATGTTTCCTATATGGTAGCTAATTTTTATAAACCGAATAACCGAAAATCGAAAAAAAAAACGAACCGAAACCGGACCGAACACCAGATTGAACATGCCTACAACTCATGGAAGTATCAGTTTATGAACTGACTGACCTCAAGCCTATGCTCTGGTTCATTCCACTCAAACATTGGGAAGTCTGTTACCCACAGAATGGAGTGCTTGGACTATATAATGAACACGCAATGTCAATAATCTGGTAAACTATCATTAAGAGGAAAAAAAAGATGTGACTGACCAATTGAGGAACTTACATGATCAATCAAATCCATGTCATGGGCGACAAAGAGTCTTAACCTGTCTAGGGTTTTATTAACAGAAGTAACAGGACCCACTCCAAATAAAATAAGATCACCAGGCTTTGCTTCACATTGTCTCACCAAGTTTGCTTTACCCTCCGAGTCTAAACTAGACACTAATGCTGCAATTCCCTCGACCTCGCCTGCATCAGAAGTTTAGACCTATTCAGAGCTGAATGCCAAACTGTAATTATATGAAGATTACTAGTAAAGAATGACAGAGGCAAAGAAGCAAGCAAGATATATCGATTTACCATTATCCAGGACCTTCAAGAAAGGCAGACCCTTTGCTCCAGATTTCATTGCTTCACCGTAAACCTCACCTTTTTTGAGAGCTGAGTTTGAATACTTTTTAGCACCCAAAGGCACACATAATACTTTAATGATTCCACCACTTTCAAGGGTCTCCGTGAAAACCCTGAACGAAGAATCTGTGAAAATGTTTGACACCTGCAATTTCAGAAACGTGGAATTTAAACTTTAACAAACTTCAAAGCTTCTGTGCAAAATCTGGAAAAATAGGTCTATAACGCACTACCTAAGCCAAGCTAAAAACTAGCATAAGCAATTATGTCCTTGCAGAAAACAAAAGCAGGTAAAGAGACATATATTGATATATATACTTCTTTGTAATAGTAACTAAATGACCAAGACGCAGATAATATTACGTCTTTCAACTGAAGATCAAATCTTGTATCCGGTCTATCTGACCCATATCGATCCATTGCATCAGCATACGTCAGTCTTGGGAATGGATCAGGTAGCTGGATACCTTTGATCTCTGCAAAGACCTGCACAAGAAGGTCAAATAATTAAAAAAAAGAGTGCTGAAAATTCACCAAACTTGCATAGTAATGGAAAGCAGAGTTACAGGACATAACGAAGCAACAAGTTTGCACACATATACTTTAACAACATTCTTGCATTGCATCACTGTTACAAAAGATAAAATCTTTGAACATAGCTCAGTGGAGCCCTAACCTTACGAATAAGATCTTCATTAAGCTTCAGCATGTCCTCCATAGGCATGAAAGCCATTTCCATATCAAGCTGAGTGAATTCAGGTTGCCTATCAGCTCTTAGATCTTCATCTCTAAAACATCTGATAATACCGAAATAAAACGTAAGAGAGAAAAATCATTTGCATGAACAGTCTTATTTTAGGCGAAACATGATGAGCCACTTATGCAAGGGAGGGTTATTCTGAACCATGCTTAAGAGCAAGAGGTCACATACATACCTTGCTATCTGGTAATATTTGTCAAAACCAGAGACCATCAACATTTGTTTGAAGAGCTGAGGACTTTGTGGCAAAGCATAAAATGTTCCTGACTTCGAAAGAGACATTTAACAAAATCAGATCTATAAACTATGATGAAAGCTTATTCATTCTATGAAGGGAATAAATCAAGATGAAAAGAAGTAAAAAAAAAGCACCTGAATTCTTGAGGGAACCAAATAATCTCGAGCGCCTTCTGGAGTAGATCGAGAGAGTATTGGAGTTTCAATCTGACACAAACAAACCAATATGAAAAAAAAAACAGGTAAGACCCAAAAGTTATAATACACAACGAACTATCTATGCAGACCCTCTATCAAATGGAGAAGGAAGTACCTCGATAAACCCATGCATGTCTTCTAGATACCTCCTAATCAGCTTCACCAGATTATGGCGAAGAACAATATTATTCTTCATCTGGTGACGGCGTAGATCAAGACATCGAAACCTAACACCACACAAAAAAAATCCAAAAGCATCATTTAAGCACTTAGAGCTTCAATACAAAAAAAAAAGACCAAACATAAAAGATCGCTAATATATTGCACCTTAAGCGAATATCTTCTTTAATTGAATCTTTTGTCTCGTCAGAAGTAGTAACAAGGAAGGGAAGCTTTGACCTCACAGGGTTCAATATTTCAACATGCTCCGCAACTACCTAATGCAACATACTAACTTTCTAGAAGACCCAAAACATATAGCATATATATATATATATATACACATGAAGAGAAAGCATTACCTCAACGGCTCCAGTTTTCATTTTCTTGTTGATAGACTCATCAGGTCTAGCACGAACCGTACCTTCCACGGAAACAACGTACTCAAGCCTCATGTCATTGATCAAGCCGTGCGCCTCAGGAAACTCATCCGGAAGCGTCCTAACCTATTAATTATAAAACTCTCAAACATTAACAACGCGTAAAAGTCCTCAAAGTAATCATCTTTTGCGTTACACAAACAGAGTAACAGACTTGAACATGTCCGAATCTTGGAAAATCCTTTCCGACCAAGGAAACATTAATAAAAACATAAAGTAATCATCTTTTGCGTTACACAAACTGAATAGGTCCGAATCAAGGATCATCCTTTCGGACCAAGGAAACTAAACTAAAGTAGAAAGTGCATTAGTAAGAAGAAACTTAACGGCTAATGATACAAAGGTGAAGGATTTAGTCTGAGATAACAGACCTGGACAATGCCGGTATGATCTCTAAGGTTAAGGAAAGTGAGACCTCCATGGACTCGGTGGAGGGCGACCCACCCGCAAAGGTGGACTCTTTTTCCAACATCTTCAACTGATAACTCACCGCAAAGCTCTTTTCGTGATACCCACCTGAGAACAGAAGGAGGAGGCGGTTTTAAAACGGCGTCGATTGATGTAGCTGCGGCGATGGAATTGGAGAAGGTTCTTCGGGTTCTGGGAAGTGGGTTTCTCAGTTTGGGTAAGAGGAAGAGAAGGGCGGAGTTGGCGGTGGCGGAGAGGAGAAGAGAAGGTCGGAGAGGGAGAGTTCGCAGGAGGAGAGACATTGTTGGGAGAGGAGAATAGTGGCGATTGGCGAACAGAGGAGAGGTTTTAGGATTGCGTTTTTACGAAATCAATTTGATTGAACCGGTTTAGTTTATGTAACTAACCGATATTATGTTCGTCATATATTTGAGTAGTGGTTTATGAGAATTCGTTCGGTTGAGCCTGACTGGTTACAACGCACCTATTGCGATTGCAGTTGCTGGTGTGTGCGGATGCGGGAAATTGCGGTTTTAAGTGTTAGTAAGAGATTTATATGACTGGTTTAATGGTTAAAAATTGTTACGTTTACGGGATACTTATGACTGGTTTATCATCAAATACAACAACGGTTAAGTAATAAATTAACAATATTTATATTTTATATAATTAATAAAGTATTAAAATCATATTTTCATGATAAATATAAAATTTTTATTGAAAAACTGCACTATTAAATTTTAAAATATTAAAGAAAATATTTTTTTCAAAATTTTATAATATAAATATTTCAGTATTGTAATTATTTTAATTAAAAAAATTTAATTGAATATTTTATTTTTATATGTATATAGTTTTTTGGAAAAAAAATATTTTTTATCCTCCCGTAATCGCCCGCAACCGCAAATGCTAGCTGGAATCAGCTTTTGAATTTTAGAGATTCAGAGCGATTTGAAGCGGTTTATAGCGTTTTTTGTGATTGTTGCAAAACGCCAACAACTGCTACCAACCGCAAAAACTGCGTTTGCGGGTGATGTCGGGAGAACCAGTCACGCTTTTAGTTGGGGTTTACCGGTTTTAGAGTTTAATTTCATAGTTTCAAACTTTGAATTGGTTAATAGTACACTTCAGATAATTTTATTTACGTAGAAGATCCACTTTGAATTTGAATTCATTTCAAAATTATTTAAGAACAATTCGATTTCACATGATGATAAACAAAGAGTGAAGGATCAGGTAATTCTTTGACTGGTTCTCTACCAGAAGACATTGGAGGGCTTAAAAATCTTGTTGCGCTATCTGTTGCACATAATCAATTATCCGTACATTTACCACACTCCTTGGGAAAGTGTCTCCCAATGGAAATAATTTCGCTGCGAGGAAACAATTTTGATGGAGCCATTCCGGATATAAGAAAGTTGGTGCGTCTTAAAAAGGTTGATTTCTCCAACAATCATCTCTCTGGAAGCATGCCTGCTTATCTTGCCAACTTTTCTTTATTGGAGTATCTCAATCTCTCTGTCAACAACTTCGAGGGAAGTGTGCCCACACAAGGAAAATTTCGAAATGCTACTATTGCTTCAGTCTTTGGAAACAAAAATCCCTGTGGAGGCATCAAAGAATTCAAACTGAAGCAATGCCTCACTGAAGCACCGTTGATGGGAGGATCAAAAAAGAGTTCATCTCATATGAAGAAAATAGTGATTGGGGTCAGCATAGGCATTTCTTTGGTTTTACTCCTGGTCTTAGCTTCAGTTTCTCTATGTTGGCTCAAGAAAAGAAAGAAGAAGCATCAGACCAATAATCCAACTCCTTCCACAATGGAGGTCATTCATGAGAGGATGAGTTATGGAGAGATCAGAAATGCGACTGATGGCTTCTCTTCAAGCAATGTGATTGGGTCAGGAAGTTTTGGTACTGTGTTTAAAGCCTTTCTCCCTGCTGAGAACAAGTATGTTGCTGTCAAAGTTCTAAACATGCAAAGACATGGAGCAATGAAGAGTTTTATGGCAGAATGTGAATCCCTCAAAGACATAAGGCATCGTAATCTTGTGAAACCATTGACGTCTTGTTCGAGTACTGATTTTCAAGGAAACGAGTTCAGAGCTCTCATCTATGAGTTTATGCCTAATGGAAGCCTTGACATGTGGCTGCACCCGGAAGAAGTGGTGGAAGAGATTCGTAGGCCTCCAAGAACCTTGACACTTCTTGAGAGACTCAATATTTCTATAGATGTGGCTTCTGTTTTGGACTATCTTCATGTTCATTGTTATGAACCTATAGCGCATTGCGATATCAAGCCGAGCAACATCCTCCTAGACGATGATTTGACTGCTCATGTCAGCGACTTTGGTCTAGCTCGTCTTCTCGTCAAGTTTGATCAAGAGTCCTTCTTCAACCAACTAAGTTCAGCTGGTGTTAGAGGAACCATCGGCTATGCCGCACCAGGTAAAAACTATTACACTCCAAACTATATTTTTTTAAAAATATTTCGATAATTTTTTTTTCTCAAAATATTCAAAGTATATTTCTAAATAAAATCGTGGTAAAGATAAATAAAAAAAATTCATATAAAGAAATTAGAACCCTTGGACCTACTCACTTCTCTAATATTCTATGGAAAATAGTATTTTTTCATTACAATCTTGTTTATATGATTATGTTGCAGAATATGGAGTGGGAGGACAACCATCTATACAAGGCGATGTGTATAGTTTTGGGGTTCTTCTTTTGGAAATGTTCAGTCCAACTGATGAGTTATTTGGTGGAAACTTTACACTCCACAGCTTCATCAAATCTGCATTGCCAGAAAGAGTGTTGGACATTGCAGACAAATCGATTTTTCACAATGGTCTCAGAGTCGGTTTCCCAATTGCTAAATGCTTGATTCAGGTTTTGGAGATGGGACTTAAGTGCTGTGAAGAATCTCCGACTAACCGGATGGAAGTGAGTGAAGCTACAAAGGAGCTGATCTCAGTCAGAGAGAGGTTCTTTAAAGCCAGAAGAGCAGCAAGACGCTGAAGTGTTTATGGTTTTACTCTACAGACTTGAAAACCTACTTAAAAGTTTATTCCGAGACCTCTAAAATACCGTTTGCATAACGTGTGGTTTGGCTCTTTTATGTACTCATATGCTTGCAGACGCTATTGTTTATGAATGCTTGTTATTTGCAGACAAAGATAAATGTTGTGTTACTAGATTTTAAGTTGAGATACTTATTTTTCAGATTCTGTTTCTTTTAATATTCTTGTCTTCTGTAATTAGCCTTTTGATATGCGCAAGACTTAACACTGTCCAGGTAGTAAAACTGACTTCACAAAAAGAAATACGTACATAGCAGAAAACAAAGACTCTATTCTAATGAAGCTATGCATGTCCATGTCGTCGAAGACACAACACAAAAATATGAAGAAAAGACGTATCCATATATATACCACAAATAAGCCATACAAAAGAAGTTACAAGCTCATCCGCCATAATAAACCACTGAGGAAACGAATCCTTTTTATGTCAAGGAAAAACAATGAATGAAGAGTGAGCAAGTATTAACAATCCACTGGCTCAATCTTCGAACATCTCTGACATGGCCCCATCTTGTTCGCCTCTCTCTCTCTGACTTCTCGTCTCCCTTATAGGTCAGTGCTAAATTACGCTTCCCGGCAGTCTTGAATAAGTTTCTTCAACCTTTATAATTGACATCTGAGGAGTTTTTCCCATTGAAATTTCTAAAAGTTGTATGTATTCCTGAATGAAATTCATACACAACTCAAAGTAAAATTATCTTTGATATGCAAGAGTAAAATAAGAAGCTTTGCAGAGCAGATTAAGCATGAGCTTAGTTTTGATCCAGTTCATGCCTGTGTGTCCCTGTGTTAAGTGAGCTTTTTTTTTTTTTTTTTGGGCAACTGTGTTAAGTGAGCTTGGTCTGCAATTTAGCATATTCTTTATGCACACATTTTGTATTTTGAGGTCTTTTTGGGTGTGTATCCTCTTTTGTTTTTTCTCAGTGATCTTTCCTTAGGCTTTGTTGGTTTCTCCTTTCTCCAATTCTTGAGTTCGATATCTAATAACATTATACACATGTAGAGCTTGCGGGTTATTATAATTATAAGATTCAGTTTGTATGCTTTTGGAAGTCTTTGCGGTGGTGAATGTGTAGCAGCGATATATCTTCAGATCTTGAGAACTTTTGTTAGCATGAAAAGAAAATAACAACAATTTGTCTTGGTTTCAGTTTTAAGGGTTTAGAAAAGTAGGAATAGCTCGGGTTAATTTTTTTTAATTTATATTATTATTTGTGAAGTGATTTTTCGCATCAGAATTTTCATGTTAAAAGTTAGAGCATCTCCAAAAGACACTCTATAACTTCAAATATGAAGTTTTGCCTCTCCAAAAAGGAACTCTAAAACTTCAAATTTGAAGTTTTGAGTAGTGAAACTTCAAATATAAAGTGTCACTAATCAAAACTTCAAATTTGAAGTTTCATATTTTATTTGCATTTTGGTCCTTACAATTACACATCATATTTATAATAATCTTAAATATTTATTATTTATCGTTTTAATCTTTAAAAAATACTGTTTCATAAATAATTCAAAATTATTTTTATAAATTTAAAATTTGTATATGTTTTTAAAATAACATCAAGATAATCCTTATTTTGTTTGTATTTTAATATTTAATTATATATTTCTATTTATAGTTTTATATTTTAGTGTAACATTTTATCAAATAATATTTCCTTAATATTTTTCTAATATTTTTATACATGTGATAGTTATTTATAAAAGTATTATGAATTTGAATTAGTTATGACAAATATAAGGACCATTATATAAAATACAAATAGTTTTGAAGTTATATTTGAAGTTTTGTTTTTGGGGTATAACACTTTCAAACTTCAAATATAGAGTTTTGCAAACTCTATAATAGAGAGTCTTTTTGGAGATGCTCTTATAATGATTAATTTTGTTTATACCTTTAATGAATTAAATATACAAATTAGCTAAAATAAAAATGAATTTAATTATTTTTGATTAGATAGATGATTAACATTAATAATAATAAAAATGATTCAAACTAAAACAAAAAATTAAAATAAAAAATAATTCATATATATATTGTGTTGTTATCCTAAAATATATGTTAATCAAAAATAATATTAACTAGGTGTTTTGCCCGCACATGCGGGCTTAATTATCTTTAAATCAATTTAAAAAAATCCTCAAAATAAATGAGTATCAAAATTTGACCTAAAACATTAAACTTTTCTACATAATAAAGTTATTCACAAATTAAAAAAC